TTGAAAATTGTGATTGATTTGTATTTCTAAGTCTAAAGTTCATGATTTTAGTTTTATTAAAATTAATTTTGAGATTATTTTTATTTAACCAAGTAACTATTGAATTAAGGCTTCTATTAATATCATCTTCGATTTCTGTATAACTGTCATTACTATATATAACTGTGCTATCGTCAGCAAATAAGGACATCTGGTTTGTTGTTGCACTAGGCAAATCATTAATATAGCATATGAAGAGCAGTGGTCCCAAAACAGATCCTTGCGGAACACCATACGTAACTGCACTAGTGCCAGATGAGTATATTTTTTCAGTTTTAGATTTAACATTGACTTGGCTAATTTGAGTGAATTGTTCTCTATCTGCTAAATAGGACTGTATGAGGTCGAGCACATTACCTCTTATACCATAGCTGTAGAGTTTTGCTAATAATACTTTGTGATCTACATAATCAAAAGCCCTTGACATATCCATATACATTGCAGCTACCGGTTTTCTTTTATCTAAGTTATAGTGTATTTTTTCAAGAAATTGATATATGGCCAAATCAATGGTTTTGCCCTTTCTAAAACCCATCTGTTCCCCGCAGAAGATGTTATTTTTTTCAAGGTAATTATTTAAAGAATTATAAATAACCCTTTCAAAGATTTTTGAGAACACTGGTATCAATGCCACAGGCCTATAATTGCAAATATTGGTCTTATCCTCCTTCTTGTGCACTGGCTTAACAATGGAGACTTTTAATTTTGTTGGAAATATGCCATTTATTATCGAGCTGTTTATGATATCACATAATACAGGAGCTATGATAGAGCCTACTGATTTTATTACACGAGTATTTATTTCATCATAGCCAGTGCTGTTAGTGTTCTTTAAATTATTTATTATGCAAACTATTTCTTTTGGTACTGTTGGTTGAATGAACATGGAGTTATAAGAGCGCAAATTATTAGTCACACTATATGTCTCACAACAGGCATTCGGCTGAACTAAGTTCACGAAAAAGTCGTTAAAATGCTGTGCTATAGTTTTAGGGTTTGTTATATTCTCATTGTTTACGCGAATCAAACTAATATTCTTTTTTGGAGTGTCCTTCCTTATACTGTTGACAACCTTCCAGGTTGCCTTAGATTTGCTACTACTTGTTTCAATATAGTAACTGTTCTGAGCCTTTTTTGTTAGCTTAACAACACGTTGGTATCGCTTGCTAAACGTTTCAAAGGCTGTTTTTGTGTCAATATTAGGAGTTAGTCTGTATTTCCAAAGCAAAGCTCGTCTTTTCCTGCTACAGCGTTTTATGCCGCGTGTTATCCATTTTTGATTACTCACTGTGGAAATTTTACATCTTGTTACAGGAAAACAAAGTTCATATAGTAGCTTAAAGAGGTCAAAAAAAATATTGTATTTATCATTCGGATTATTAGACTCGTAAACCTCAACGAAACCAATACCTGCAATATGTTTAGCAAACAGATTCATGTTTTCTGTACTATAATTACGTTTCCATTTGTAATAATATTTCAAAACACATGTTTGCTTTATAGGGAAGCTCAACAATTGCGCTGTATGATCTGATAAACCTAAATCCAATATCTCACTTTTACAGCCTCGTATATTGTGAAAAATATTGTCTAGGCAAGTACCACTGCTAGGTCTTGTAGGTATCTCGATTTCAATCTTAAGGTTGAACTCCTTTAAAAGGCGCTTAAATAGAGTGGAGTGTTTGGTTTTCTGTAACAAGTTAATGTTGAAGTCACCGCAGATTATTATCCTGTAATTGATTTTGTAGCAAATTTTTTGTAAAATATATGTTAAATTATTGAAAAATATGTCAATTTTAGTCTGATCTGGAACTCTATATACGCACAGTACCATTGTTTTATGGTCCGTTAATTCTATCGCACAACATTCAAACACGTTAGCAATATTCACTGCTTTTACTAATTCTACCTCTGAATATTTGATATGTTTATGAACAAGTATACAAGAACCACCATTCCGTTTCTCTCTAGTGAAAGATGTAGCCAAAGTATAATTAGGGATATTAAAAAAATCGATATCGCTTAACTTCATGTTGTGTTCCGTGAAACATAGGATGTGTAAATGTAGCCCTTTATTTGAAAAAGTATCTAGACATTCCGTCAATGTGTCAGTTTTAGTGAGCAATCCATTTACATTTTGATGCAGAAGGCACAGTTTATTATAGACGAAAAAAGTCTTTATTGGAGCCGTCTGTCACTGACAAACAAACAGAACCAGTTGACCGACACAAATTATTTGTTGGTGAGGTTTCGTTTCCTTCTTCAGTGTCAAGATACAAATCGTTAGAGTTAGTACTGTTATTATCAGAGATAAGTAGTTTCAAATTGTCAAAAATATTTATAATACCGAAATTGTTAATTCTACCACTGTGTTTGAGAAACATTGTGTGATCATATAATAGGCAAGAATTCGAGTCAAATAATGTCGCATAATTGTAATTTTGTATATCGTAATAAATAATATTATTAAACATTTTTATTCTAAAGTTATACATTGTAGAATAATAATTATATTTAAAGGTAGGTAAACATAGTATTATATTAGTGTGTTTTATGTTTATCAAAGCTTGGCGTATATTCACTACTAGCTCCGAATAATTATTAGTTTGTTTAAAATCATCCTCACCTATGAATATTAGACAATGATCTTTCTTTGTATAATTATTTAACTTACAGTGAATATTACTTAGTAGTTGTTTAATACCGCAGTGTGGAGAAAGGTAGTGACATATTTGATGGTTAGGAAAGGTATTTTCAGCTCTTGTCAATATTTTGTTAGTGGTGTTAGTGCTTAAGATACATAACTTGCTTTGTGTTTCATTTTTGTAAGCCATTCTCATGGTGGACTGTCGTTGAGCCAAGTTTTTGTCTTGATTTTCCGTATTAACCAGAGGTATTCTAGGTATCGAGGTTTCGAGCGCTGAGTTATCCTCTTTATAGCACTGTGTTATTTGGTACAATTGACTATATTTCAGCCTGGATTCCTCCAAGTCCGAACGTAAAATTCCATTTTCCTTTCTCATTTGATCCATTTTCTTTTTATACATAGTATTATCGTTCTTAAGTTTTTCGAACTCACTATTAATAAAACTCATGGATTCTCTGAAATCCCTAATTTGATCATTTATTTCTTTAACGTTTGCAGTTAACGAACGCACTGTGTCATGTAGGGCATTTCGTAGCTCCTCCCGTATGATCTCCCTTATTTCTAGGCGCCAGGGCTCCGCGGATATGTTTGCACCTTGCTGGATTTCTGGCCTCATTTGGTTGACTTTACGCCGCGTAACATTAAAAGTTAAATCAGCCATAGATGTAGGCGTCGACGGGCGTATAGGAGCATTATTACTTTTTGGTTGTTTACTAAGACATTGCGGGCAGAGCCAGTGGTTTAGGACTTGCTGTTTCTGTGTATGCTCTTCAGAGAAGTTTGAGCATACACAGATGCTACACAGCTTTGAATGCACAGATGATACATAGCTTTGAATGCATCGAACACACGTAATAAAGTTATCATTAAAAATGTCGGTATTACACGCTGCACAATGACCCATTGTAATGTCTATTCGGTGCAAGTGCACTCAACGCAACGTTGCACTGGGCTAGACGGAGACAGCAATTATGGGTACTATCTTTTATCGCGGCGGTGAGGTGTGCGGGCTCCCCGCTCGCTACGGTAGGCCACCGTTCACAGGATTTTGTCTGATATTTTAAGTGTAACTTACACAGGATAATATTCACTATAAACTTATTAGAAAGAACCACTGTTGATTGATTACTTAAACAGATCTTGATTAAACAAATTGTAACGTGTCTGCTTCTAGCAACGGTCTACGGACGAAGTTTTCTTCTTAATCTTGTTTTCTCTTCATTGTCTTTTCACCTTTTAGTCCTTAATAACGGATATACTAGCACACATCAAAACAATGTTGTGGTATATTTAATAGTGCCATTGTATCTAGCTGTGAATTGCAAAAGAGTGGCCATGAGTTTGTGTGCCCTTTCTTCTCATAAGGCTCAACCCCTTGGAAACGGGCGGTTGTAGATCGGCACAGGCATATCATAGATTTTGTATGGGTTTGATTTTTGTTAAATTTATTTGGTTACTATTTGACAAAACAGAGATTGTTGCTTTTGTGTGTGTTGATCTATGACTTTAGAGTCTACATGGAAGACGATTTCAAACAATTTTGGAAATTTTATGAAATAAAGAAAGTTTGAGTTTGAGTTTGAGTTTTCAAAGTGCTGTGCAAGTCATCAGTTGTTCACTGCTATAGTTATAATCCTTATTTTACTACCCGCGTATTTTTTTATTGTAACTTATTCATTTAAGTACTTGCGCTGAGTGTTAGATATAGTAACGGTTTATTAGTGGTGTAACTTAGTACCGCACCGCTTCACCATGGCTGACGCTAAATTAAAACTTAAATTATTACACACTAAAAAGGAAACCTTATTTTCCCGTATTAATGATATAGCGGATCTCGCTAAAACCGCAGATTTATCTGAAACGGCGAAACACAATTTTCTCGATAAAACAGTATCAATCGATCGAATGGGAGGCGATTTTGAAGCCATCATAGATAAAATAAATGAGTTGGAATCGTTAGCCGATCCAAAATATGAATTAAATTATAGTCCGATTGTCGCATTTGATGATTTGTATTGTCGAATTAAACGCAAATTAAGAACACTTTCGACCACTAAAGTTCAATTAACCCTTCCTTTTTTTGACGGAGATGTTACTAATTGGGCCTTGTTTCATGCCAGTTTCAAGTCAACAGTACACGACAATCCTAGTTTGTCTAACTCGTTATGAGGATAAGCGACTTATTGCTAATACCTACTTGCAACAAATATTCGATTTAAAATGTCAACCGTTAGAAACGTTTGTAGACAAGCTCTCCGCTTCTGTCGCCGCTCTTAGAAATTTAAAATTAAAGGACTAGTCTGACTTTCTTTTGATGTATATCGCATTGAAAAAATTAGATACAGATACCGCTCGCGCATTTGAAACTGATAAACGCGGGGTCGATTTCCCAACATTTGATAGCCTTATAAGATTCTTGCGAAAGAATATTAAGGTCTTGAGCCGCACTAGTGGTAACAAAGCCATACCGCAGGGCAACAAGAATAATAACAAAACAGTAACGCATACATTAGTGTCTACTAATACTCGTAATAATACAGACACCGCGCCCGCACATAAGAAGCAAAAATGCTCTTTATGCTCGTCACAGCATGAACATCTCTATCAATGTTCAGGTTTTCAAAAATTGGCACCTACTGACCGCTATAAACACGCTAAATTTAATAATTACTGCATTAATTGCCGTAGTAATAGGCATGTTATCCGCGATTGTAATTCTAGTTCCTCATGCCGCTGGTGCCAGCGTAAGCACCATTCTATGCTGCATTTTGATAGTTCCGCTCACCTTGGAAGACACCTACGCACCGCGCTGGGGTCCGACCACCCGCATCCGCGCCGCCGCCGACTCAGTCCGGTGTTTCCGCATCTATCGCGCCCCGCGCAGATGACGTTGCACTATGCACGTTCTCTGTCGATTCTACCGGCAGTCATGTTTCGCCCGCTTTTACTACTGTCGCGCTTCAAACCGCTTGTGTCATTGTGACTGATAATTGTGCTAATGAACATCTTATTCGCTGCATTTTAGACAGTGCATCACAAAATAATTTTATTACGCACAAATTTTGTGCTCGCATAGGCTTAGCTTTTAATAAATCCGCAGTTAACCACGTCCAGGGTATCGGAGGATCGTCCAAGACTATACGAGAGTCTGTATTAGTGAAGTTTTCTTCTCGCTTCTCGTTTTCTTTTCTTCTTTAGTAGTTGATCAGATAACTAAAACACTATCTACCGCACCGCTATTGAGAACCGCTCTTCATAGGTTTGAAACCTTACCGCTCGCTGACAAAAACTATGATCGTCCTGCTGACGTCGAAATGATGATAGGAGCATTCTTATATCCGCACCTCCTCTTTCCTAATAAGGCCACGGTTTTTGAGTCCGCTGTCGCACCTTTTGCCCTAGAGACCGTTTTAGGCTACGTCGTAATAGGTAACGCGCCCGCTGTATTAAATTCTTTAAATTATGTTTCCTGTTGCGTCACAAACTCTTTGAGTTCCTTGGTCGCCAAGTTCTGGGAGATGGAAGAAGTTACCGCACCGCCTGTGCTTAGTTCAGATGACAAGGCTTGCGAAGAAATTTTCGCCGCAACCACCACTCGTGACGAGAGTGGTCGGTATACCGTCGCCTTACCTTTCAAGGGTGATGTTTTCGCTCTCGGAGATTCCATGCGCACCGCTGAAAGGCGATTTCTATGTCTAGAACACAAACTAGAAGCTTCTTCTACGCTCCGACAAGCTTATGATGAAGTGATTCGCGACTATCTTGATAAGGGCTACATCTCAAGGGCACCTTCAGAACTTGACGCTCCTTCCTACATCATACCTCATCACGGGGTCATTCGGCACGATAAGTGTACATCGAAGTTACGCGTTGTACTGGATGCTAGCGCTAAAACGAGTTCGTCATTATCGCTTAACGATATTTTGTACAATGGTGAGAATCTCCAAGGAAATCTTTTCAATATTATTATAAATTTTCGTCTTTTTCGTATCGCCCTCTCATCCGATATCCGTCAAATGTTTTTATGCATAGGGGTACGTGAGTGTGACCGCAGATTTCAGCGTATATTATATCGCTTTTCGCCTCAAGAACCTATCTATGAATTTAATAGGGTCTGCTTTGGTTCAAAATCCAGTCCTTTTCACGCCTTACCGACTATACAACAACTTGTATCCGATGAATCAAGGTCCAACGTTTTCAGAAACGCTGCAAAGACTTATGATTATATATATAGCCTCGATACAGAGGATGAGGGCACCGTAGTCGCTAGAGAAATGATAGAGTTAATGAAGGCAGGTCAGTTTGATCTTGTCAAATGGATGAGCAACTCACAAACTGTGTTGTCATCCATTCCTGAATCTCATCGCATGGCCGCTGTTATAGAGTTTGACGAAACGTCTTCGCACAAAATTTTAGGATTATGCTGGTCGCCCACGACAGATTGCTTCTCTATTAGAGTCACGCCTCCTCCTGAAACCTGCACAAAACGGGCCATACTTTCCTGTGTCGCTAAATTATGGGATTTTATGGGTTATGTTGCTCCGGTCGTACTATATGCTAAGCTACTCATCCAGCAACATTGGCTTGATGGCATAGATTGGGACGAGGCTCCATCTGACAATATTGTCAAGTTATAGAACCAATTTCGCACCGAGCTCCCTCAGCTCCATGGACTAATTATTCCTCGCCACGTAGGTATCACTGTAGGAAGTATAGTTACCGTTTTAGGATTTTCTGACGCAAGCGAACGAGCCTATGGCGGAGTAGTGTACCTTCATATTCAAAATCAAGGACAGCCGAACTCGGTTCATCTTATTTGTGCTAAGTCCAAGGTAGCACCGACAGAAACTGTTTCACTAGCGAGGTTAGAACTTTGTGCCGCTCTTCTCTTCGCTCGTCTTATACGCACAGTCATCGACGTCGAATTCACTACGTCTTCGCCTTTTCAGATTCTACGGTGGCTTTATGTTGAATACATTCGTCACCGCACCGTTGGGACACGTTTGTTGCCAATCGGCTTTCTAAATTACATGCAGATTTGTCTGCTAAACACTTTTATCATGTTTCTGGAATCGAGAATCCCGCCGATTGTTTATCGCGCGGACTCTCACCCGCTAATATATATGACCATCCGCTTTGGTTCAAGGGTCCATCCTGGGCTATTTTGAGCCCCAGAAATTGGCCTATTTCCGCGTTTAACCCGTCTACCGCTTTATCTGATCCTCCGGAACAGAAAAGAGTCACACTTGTGACTTGTAATCCTGAACCTTCGCCTATTATGGATCTTTCAAAACGCATCTCCTCTTGAAGTAAACTTTTACGCATCGTAATCTATGTATTTCGTTTTCTTAAAGTATTACCGCGCCGCGAAACTAATTTTGTGTCCGCTTCAGACCTTGAATTCGCGGAAAATAGGATAATCCGTGAAATTCAAATGGTTTATTTCTCTAACGACATCGCCGCTTTGAAGTCTGGCAAGACTTGTAGCCGCCGCCTTCAACGATTGAAGCCGTTTCTCCGCGATGACATTATTAGAGTCGGGGGACGTTTGACCCTCTCTGACTTGTCATTCGATCATAAACATCCGATCGTTTTAACACGCAAGGATCATATATTGAATTTGTTGGTTGATTATAACCACAAGCTTCATTGTCACGCAGGTCCAGATTTACTGTCGTCTATTCTGCGTCAGAAATACTGGATTCTTTCCGCCCGCAATCTGGTACGCAATAGGGTGCATAAGTGCATTCCTTGTTTTCGGCTTCGCCCAAAGCCAAATCTTCCAGAAATGTCAGATCATAGGCAATTCCGTGTAACTCCAACTGCTAAGCCTTTCGCCCACACAGGTGTGGATTTCGCTGGACCGCTTAAGGTAACTATGTCTCGTGGTCGGGGTATCCGATCCACCAAGGCATACATATGTCTATTCGTCTGTATGACAACTCGCGCCGTTCACATAGAACTTTCTGGCGATCTCACCACTGCTTGTTTTATGTCGGCTTTCAAGCGGTTCTTATCGAGGCGCGGCCCCGTTAGTCGTATATATTCCGACAACGGGACTAATTTCATAGGCGCAAAACGTTCATTATCGGAGCTTCACGAATTCCTCATTTAACGAAGTTATAACACTGACTTCGCACATATCGTAGCCGAAAATAATATCACGTGGGTATTGAATCCGCTGACCGCGAGTCACTTTGGTGGAAACTGGGAGACCAACATAAAATCGTTGAAGGGATTATTATTTAGAGTCATCGGTGATCAGACGCTCTCGTTTGAGGAGCTCAGTACTGTTCTCGCGCAGGTAGAGGCTGTTATGAATACGCGCTCCTTGTGTAGGACACTTACTAGCGACCCATCCGAGCCACTAGCGTTGACACCAGCGCTTTTTCTAACCTATACCCCACTTAAATATTTACCCGCGCCAGACATTGATGAAGATAAGCTTCACGTTCTATCACGTCACGCTTTATTGGATAAGTTAGTGCAGTCCTTTTGGAAGCGGTGGAGAACTGATTATTTGCATACTTTTCAAACGCGTCAAAAATGTTATACTCCAGCTAACCCTATTACAATTGGTACTGTAGTCATATTAATAAACGATAACGCGTCGCCTTTACATTGGCCTCTCGGCATTATTGAGGAAGTTTTTCCCGCGGCTGATGGGGTAACCCGCACATTAAAGGTGAAGACTGCTACTGGGTCATATTTACGTCCAGTTGTGCGTGTCTGCCCGCTACCAAATTAAAGGTTAACTACATATTTGTTTAAGATTTCACTTTAGGTTAGTTGTAGATAGCTTAAGATTAGATTTATTAATTTCACGCATCCGCTACCGCTTGATACATTTTTCATTGTATTAGTTTCGCATATTCCAGTTTGTTCCTTTGAAGGAAAGCCTTCAAGCGGGGGGGGGGGGGGGGGGGGGGGGAATGGTTGCCCCGTTTAGATTATACAAATACGTATTAGTTCCCGCGTAAGACATAGATGTCATAGAACTGTATTGTACCTATGTATGTATATATATTCCCGCTCCGCTTCCTTCTTCGGACGCTCAATCGCTCCCCGCTAGCGCACCAATCAAGCTCAGACCGCGCTATTAGACACCCACTATTGTGTCGAACACGAAAGATACGTGGCCACGCGCGGCGCACAAGTACGAGAATTCAGCAGTGAAAAACCTTGAGTAAAGCGTTTACCTATCTATCCTAATTCCTAACCTACTTATATACAGTCCACTATATCGCGTAAATTTAGAACCACCCGAGCAAAATTGTTCAACGCATCACCGCCATTTTTTTTTCTTATCCTTCTCGCCACCAATGGTCTTCGTAGAAGGATAAAGGCTTCCACACTTCACGGAAAGTACCTACCAGCAAGAGAAAAAACGGTCAGAGTCGTAATTCCTTTCGTAATCCTTCGATTTCCATTCGAATTTGTATTTTACAGTGTTACGTGTCCCTATGCGTCATATAAATTTAGTTTTCCTTGTGAGTCAATCAAGATTTTAAGTTTTTTCTGCGACGACGCGGTAACAGTAAGTACCCATCTTTTCTATTTTATACCGCCAAAATAAGTGTTGTAGAAAGAGATGATATTAAAATTAGCGAGCTTATTAAACTCGGGGTACATTTAAGGCTAGATTGACTTTATTCGAGAAATACATAAATAAATACGAGTCTAGCAAATTATCGCAACTGAAAGTAACATAAATTAGTATGAGAATCCAAGCATAGATTGTTTTAATAGTTATAGTAATATTCAAGGTCAAATAGAATCACTTGTATTAGACTCGGAATTAGATTTACAGCTAGAATACCGTGAGGCTATTGAAGAACGATATTATACAAATATGGCCGTCGCGAAGTGCTTGTTAAAAGAAAACGAAAATGCTAATTCTGAGTGTACGCATAAAGAAGGTCAAAATCTCACGTCCGTTAAGTTACCAGTAATTAAGCTACCCTCCTTTGACGGCTCGTATGA